GAGGGTCTCGCATATTCGAACAAGAGCCCCCTCCCTGGGGTGTGTGTGTGTGTGTGTGCTGCCCCAGCTGACTGCCCGCGGCTTGCCCGAAGCCACCCTACCCGTGACCTCCCCCAACACGGGGCACGACAGCCAGATAGACCCCCAAGGCCCGGAAATGATCCGGCTCCCAAACCGGCCTGCGGATGGCCCCCTGGGCACCCCCACCCCCACCCCTGCCTTGCCGTGCCCTGCCCTGCCGGGCTGCTGCCCTGGGAGCCGCCAGGGAGGGGGGCCAGGGGTTAGGGTCATTGTCCAAGGCCAGGCAAGGTCCGTGGGGGCTGAAACAAGGAGGGCAACTCTGAGGGTGGCCACATCCAACCAGCCCTGCTTTGTCCGCTGTCCAGAATGCCCTGCCCGTCCTGGGGGGGGGGAGACCTCATCCCCGCCCTGTGGGTGGGCTACAGCACCAGTGCCCGGGGTTCACCCCCTTAGGAAGCATCTCCTCACAGGTAGCACAGCGCAGAGGAACCGGAAGGCCTGTCTGGGCACCAGCGGCTTCTCCTCCAGGGTGAGCTTCCATTCAGCAGAGGCTCGGAGCAAAGCAGGGAGACCCAGGCCGAGTCCAGGGCCACTGAATCCATCCAACACCCTTTTCTCCCGACCGCTCCGGAGGCCGAGCCGACAGGGGCTCCCCTAGTCCCCACGGCCTGGCTCAAGGGCTCTCCCATTCTGGCTCAGCGGGGGCATCGGGGCCTCTCTGGGCAAGCACCTCCCCCTGCCACAGGCGGCGGCTGCTGCTGCTGCTGCTGCTGCTGCGTGGGCAGGACACGGGAAGCCCACCCAGGAAGGAGGGTGGTGGATCCCCGAGGGGCTGCGAGGCCTGCCAGAGAGGAGGCGGCTGGGGGAGGAGAGGGCCCCCCACCCACCTGCCCCCAGGTGCCGCCGTCTCCCCAGCGCACCGTGAATCAGCCGGGATCGCTGAGCAGGCGGCTTTTCCTCTGGAGCAGGACAGGCAGCAGCAGCATCAGAACCATTAAGCAGGGTGGGGGAGCTCCACTTTGGCCCTCCGGTGTTCTTCCAGGATCCCCGCGGAGCGGAGGCTGGAGCCAGGAGGAGGCGAGACTTTTTCCGTGCAGAACAAGCCGGAAATAAACAAGGACGAAGCTGCCGCTCAGCCGCCGAACCTCCAAACCGGAAAGTCAGCCCCGGCACGCCGATAGCATCTGTGGTGCGAAAGGCTCGGGCAGGGGCGGGAGATCCGGGCTGGGCTGGGCCGGGCCCGCCATGGCTGCTGCCGGCAGCAAAGGTGGGGGCCTCGCTCTTTGGCTCCCCAGAAGAAGCAGGAGTGGCGGGTCGAGTGGAGTCCCGCGGCTGGAAGGAAGTTCAGGAAGGAAGGAAGGAAAGAAGGAGAGAAGGAAAGAAGGAGAGAAGGAAACGGCGGCGATTAAGCACCCTGCACCACTGCTCGTAATGAGGGGGTGGCGGGCACAGCCATCGAGCAACGCCTGAGACTCCCCGCCCGCCTGCCCACGCCAGCTGTGGGTCGCCCTGAAGGGGGTGGTGAGTATCTAGGGAGGAAGCCAGGCGGGGCCCTCGGGCTCGTGGCACCCAGCCCTGGCTGGCCTGCCTGGATCCTGTGGCGCATGGCCAGAGAGAGGGGCAAACAGGACAGCTGGGCAGAGCGGGGCCCAGCGGCCGCCACTGGGCAGAGAGGCCTGAAGGGTGGTAGCCCAGCAGAGCCCAGGGGGGAGGAAAGGCCCCGCTGCTGCCGCCGTCGCCCCCTGAGCCATGGGCCGGGGCCCCACCCTCTGCCACCCACTGCAGAGTCCCCTCTCACAGGAACCAAAGCCGGGAGGAAGAAGGCCTTCTTGCCCTCCGGAGAGGGGACTTGGAGGATAAGGCCACCGGGCACCATGGAAGGCATGGCTCTTCCCACGCCCAGGTCCCCCGCTGCACACAATGCCAGCTCAGTTCCTTGGAGACAAGGGGAGTCAGAGCCCCCCTTGCTAAAAACCAGGAACGGGGGGGGGGGCACACACAACCAGGGGACCGCCACGCCACACACACACAGGCAAGAGCCAGAGAGTGGGCCGGGCGAGCCAGGTGGGTCACAAGGGGGAGGGGCTTTGGGCCCGTCGCTTGCCCAGTTCACCAGGGAAGGGGGAGAGCGGGACGGCCACACGCCCGCCGGCTCCCGCTCCAGCTGCTTCCTCCACGCTAAGGACCAGGCACCTGGGAAGAGCCGGCATGAGTTGCATGCAGGGATGTGCAAGCATCCACCCAAGCAGGGAGCGCATGTGCATGCCCACTCCCCCTGCTGTGAGTTCAAATAACACGTGTCCATGGCAGGCCTCCCCACCTGGTGGTTGTACAAAATAAGGGTGGTTGTACAAAACGGGGTGGTTGTACAAAATAAGACGAATAACCCCGTGGACTCCAGCCGGAGCTCCGTGGGCCAAGGGTGGCAGCGGCGGCAGTGGTGGCAGCAGGTTCCCAGTCTCACAGGCACACCCCACAGCAGCCACCCTGACTTGCCAGGGCGACTCAGGCGCGGGCCTGTGAAGCAAGAGCCGCCCGGCCCTCCCTGTGGAAAGCGGGAAGTGCCGCTCTGCAAGGCCAGCAGGAAGCGCCCCGGTCCTGCCGGTCTTCTCTCCCTCTTCCCCACCTGGCAATTTCCTCATCTTTGGCGGTGACTCCTGGCCTTGGATTCCACACGTAGGAAGTCTCGCATGTCATCCATATGCAAGGGAATGCACTTCCTCTGAGTAAACAAGGAGGACTTCTCCTCCCTCCCACAGCAACGCCTCCCAGCGAGCAGGAAAATTGCTCCTGCAGAGCCCCAGATTAGAGGAACTGGCTAATTGCACCTGGGTGCTTCGCCTGGACTGAGCGAGGCAGCTCCACTCTCCAGAGGGTGCAAGAGCCGTCCCTGCCTGGGCCTCCGGAAGACAGGAAGAAGAAGAAGAGGAAGAAGATGGCAGGTGGGTGTTGGGGCAGGGTCACAGAGTGGTTCAGAGGTGGAACCAGCTGCTGCCTGGGGGGAGGCGGTGGTGAGCTCCCCTCCACTGGCAGCTTCCAAGAAGAGGCTGGACGGATATCTGTCACGGATGCTCGAGGCCGGTCCTGCATTGGGCGCAGGGGGGTTGGACTAGATGGTCTCTGTAGGACCCCTTCCCGCCCTGCGAGTCTGTGGTCCTATGAACGGGGCTCCCCAGCCCCACCGCGGCTTCCTGGGCCCCATGCGGTGGGGGGAGAGGCGACTTGGCCCGCGGGCGGCTTCTGGGAGGGCCCCACGGAGGCCCCAAACAGGCGGCTGCTGCCCGAGACCGGCACCTGAAGGCGGAGCTGACCTCACCGGCGCCCAGCCAGGCTCCCTGGCCACCTTTGGACCTTCCTTCATGGTGGGACCCACAGTGCCCTTCAGGAGGACACCCCCCCTCACCAGCCTGACTCCATCAAGAGGCGTGAGCAAAACCACCCAAGCGTCTTCCCTGCCCTGCCCTAGAGAACCCCCCCATCCTCAGCCCCCCCCCCCAGAGGGGCCTGGAGCTCTCCCAAAATCACGGCTGATCTCCAGACCAGGAGAGACCCGTGGCCTAGGGGGAGGAAAGGGCATCCCACGGGGAGAGGCCGGCGGCATCGCCTCCCAGCCGAGCTTCCTCTCACCGCCCCAAAATCTGCCCTCCCCAGGCTCCACCCCCAAACCTTCAGGAATCTCCCGCCCCGGAGTCGGCAACCCGGGCCTTGCCAGACCGCTTCGGGCCCTTCCCTTCCCTTCCCCTTAGATGGGCCGGCCTGAGAGAGAGCGGGCACGCGCCAGCAGGATCCCCTGTCGGTGGGACTGGGTTCTTCCTCCCCCCCACCCCCCAAGGGGAACTCACAGGGCTCACACACACCGTTCTCTGGCCCTTCCTTGGATCACCACAACAACCCTGTGAGGCAAGTCAGGCTTGGAGGGTGGGGGAACGGAGACGTCCCAGAATGGCAGACTGTCTCTCCAGGCCCCGGAGGCCCTGCCCACACCCCTCCCCGCCCTCCCCAGGATCCACCTCCAAACCTCCAGGGATCTCCCGCCTGGCACCAGGTCAAGCGAGCCGCAAGGCCCTGAGGTCGCCCAGGTCACCTGCAGCAGGTGGGGATTCAAACCGGGGACTCCCCGATGGGACCCCCCCCCGACACTCTGACCGCTGCACCATGCGGGCTTTCCCCCGGGGCACCGGGTCTGCACCCCACAGGTGTGGGCCCCTCACTTTTCCTGACCGGAAGGGCCCCCCCTCCCGTTTGTGGTCGGCATCAGGGCCCGACCTTCCTCTTCTCTTTGTGGCCAGCATTCCTCTTCTCCCTGCCCAATGGTGGCTCACGGCCCTGCACCGCAGCAGCGCTCGGCCTCTCCTTCCCCTGGCTGTGGCTCCCTCGGGCCTCTTTGCCTGGCATCTGCTGGCCACGCGTGACTGGGCCCGGTGCTCTCCGTCTCTGCGCACCGTCCTTCCCTCCAGCATGCTGCGCCGGCAGGAGTGGGTGGCGTGTCCCTGCGGCGGGCTTGTCCATCCCTGGTGCACCGGAGGCTGTGCTACTCCAGGAGAAGAGAGTTGGCGAGGGGCCCGCACCCCAAGGAGGCCCACCATCCCCGGCGGCGGCAGCTGCGGCTGGGCGTCAGTTGAAAGGGAGGCGCTCCCCCCCCCCCCCCGGTCTTTGAAGTGCCTGGGCTCGCCCGGGAGGGAGGTGGGGCAGCCGCACGTGCCGCTCTCGCTGGCTCCTGCTCTCCTGGCTTCCAGAGGCACCTGCCTGGGAAGGGGGGAGGAGCCGCCCTTGGTACAGCAACCCTCCTATGAAAGGGCTTCCCCCGCCCCACGGAAGGCACGGGGGACCCCCCCCCCCAGGCGGCACGGCCACATTCATGGTCGGGAGGGAAAGAAGCGCCGCTCCAGCTGACCTGTGACCCCAACCCGCCGCCCCTCACCTGCTGCTTCTCGTGCCCTAGATCTGACCCCGACCCAGCTCTGCTGGCAGGTCCCCGCCAACTCAAAGGCGCATCACACCAACTACTTCGTCACCTCGGACCTGGTCGTGCGCCGCGGGCAAGTTTACAACTGCACCGTGTACTTCAACAGGCCCCCCCAGGCTGGGGAGAACTTAGGTTTCATCGCCGAAACAGGTTTGTGCATCCTCCCCGGGCCCACGGGCCAGCTCTCCCACCGCCTGCGGCCACAGCTGCCCACACGACCTGCGGGCCCTTTCCCGGGTGGAGGTGGGGGTGGGTGCAGCAGGGAGCGCCCCACGGCCACAAGAGCCCTCATGCTTTGGGCACACCCCACCCCACCCCCGCGAGCCCGGCATCTCCAGGCAGCCCCAGGCGGGGCGTGTGTGTGTGTGCGCGCGCGCAAGCGTCAAAGCAGTGCAGGCCTCAGAGGTGGAGGCACGGCGTGGGTCAGGAGCAGTGGGCCCCGCCAGAGTCCACGGGCCTTGGCCTCTGCCCCACTTCAGGGCATCCTGGCACCGGCCCTAGCCAGCGCCAGTGGTCTGGCCCACCTCCGCCCCTGCCCTCCCCCCTGTCCGCCTGCCCGCCCGTCCGTGCCACCCAACGTGTGTCCTTTTGCCTCCCCCCTCCCTGGCAGGGCAAGCCCCTTCGGAGGCCAACCACACCCGGACCACCTTTGCCGTCTCGAACGCGCTGGCCGGAGGCTGCTGGAGCGCAGCGCAGATCTCTCGGGACTCCAACTACGTCAACTTCGCCATCTCCAGCCCCCCCATGGCCCCCATCGGGCGCTACAAGCTGAGCCTGATGGTGACCTGCGGCAACAAGGTGTCCAGCCGGCTGCTCGGCCAGTTCGTCCTGCTCTGCAACCCCTGGTGCTCAGGTAAGGTCCCCCCTCCCCCCCCCAGCCTGAGCAGACGCGAGGCTCCAGGGAAGGCCAAGGCGAGGGGCCTGCCGCTCCGGGGAAGGCAGCTGGGTCCCGTGGGGCAGCCCCTGCAGGGCCCCCGCCCACAGTTCAAGGATGGGCCGGAGCAGATACAAGTCAGAGATGCTGCGGGAGGGACGCTTCCTCTGAGCACCTGGGCTAGGAGACCTCCGTCCGTCCGTCCGTCCATGGGCAGACGACACGAGCGATGCATGAGCGAGAGAGGGGGGGGAGGAAGGGGGGGCGTCCGTGCCTGGGGCTGCCTGCCTTCCACCTTCGGCTTCCCTGGCCTGGAAGTCGACAGGGAGCAGGAGGAGGAGGAGGGACTGTGGCCTCCAGCTGGGCAAGTCTTGTGTTCCTGGGGGCAGAGGACTCCCAGCCCTTCCACAGGCCTGGCTGGTCTTCAGGAAGGGAAGGCCCATCTTTGGCGGCCCCAGACACCTTTGCCCGTCTCCCTGGCATCAGCCCCTGGCTTGACTGAGGGGCCGGTGGTCCCAGTGGCTCTATTTGGGGCTGATGGGGGCTGGGCTTGGGGGTCGCGGGCAGGGCCGGCATCCCGTCCCTTGGACCGGTGCCTGCTTTCCCTTCCCCCCGCTCCCATAGAGGGCCGGCCGGGTGGGTGGGTGGGTTCACCACGTAGGACCCTTGCTGGCAGGAGCCCGTCCTCCCTTGTGGCGGCTGGAGAGTTGCCAGGTCCAAGGATCGTGCTGGTGGGGGAGGGAGAGGGGCCTTCTGGGAGGGAGGGTGGAGCTGATGTCACTCGGGAGTGACGTCACCACATTGGCAACGCTGTGTGGCGATGCTCTGGGTTTTGGACCAAACTCTATGGAAGAATCACCCTCAAACCATAGAATTTTGCCCCCAAACCAAAGCGTTGCCGTGTGACGTTGCTGCCGTGATGACGTCACTCCTACATGATGTCAGCATGTCGCATTTGGGAGTGGGATTCCCCCCCCCAAGCCAGGTGGCCGGTGGGGAGGAGCCTGGAAAACCCAGGGATCCTCCGCCCTCCAACTGGGGAATGGCCTCCCTGATTGGTTGTCTAGAAATGGGGACCAGGCTGGAAGGGCAGGAGGACACACACACCCCTCCACAGTCAGCCAAGCTTCCACTTGGCCAGGAAGGGGCCTCGGGGGACTGCCGCTTTCCCTGCCCCGCCCCGCCCCGCCCATCCCTCCTCTTTGAGTCTCAACACAGCCACAACGCGGAGATGCTGCCGATGGTCAAGGCGCCCTCATAACAGCAGTGGTGGCAGATCTACACAGCAGAAGTTTCTAGGAAAGGTTTCTAAATATCTAAAATGAGTCCATGTGCAACTGGCGCCCGTAGGCCATGCATTCCGATGGGGACAGAGGTCTAAGGCTGTCCAGTCGCTGATTTACCAGAGGTGGGGATTGGTCTTTCCAGTGTTGCAATAGGAGTCTTTGAGCTCTCAACAGCCTCCGAGAGACGGGCAGATAATTTGCCGAAGTACGTCTTTTTTTTTTTGCTGTCAAGTCGCAGCTGACGTACGGCGACCCTTCAAGGGGGTTTGCCGTTGCCCGCCTCTGCGTAGCGCCCCTGGTGTTCCGTGTTCCAAGGACTGACCAGGCCAAACCCTGCTTACTTTCTGGTATATGAGGAGACGGGGCTAGCCTGGGCTGCCCAGGTTAGGGCAGTAGAAACACGTGAGCATACACAAAGAATATCAATGAACGTTTTCATAAAAAATTGATATGACTGATAACTTCTTCCCAGAAAAACTGAATGACTGGATACACCCAAAGCACATCTTTAAGGGAGGAGTCCTGTGAGTTACAATGCGACCAGTTAGACATTTTACTCCGGCCTCAGCTAAGGAGTCGTTGTGACGTAATTTTTTGCTGAATAAGCAGCAACAAAAATCCATGGAGAGAGCAGGTATCAACGTTAAGGTCTTATCCCATCGTATTGGCAAAATAGGGCAATCTAGCTCCTTGTTCCATTCATTCTTGAGACTCTGGATATGTTCATTAATTAAGATCAAAGGTTTCTAGATAAATACTGTAGGTTTCACTTTCCTCCTCGATTCATCTGGCGTTTCCAGGAGCAACGGGGACTCCGAGACACAGGGTGGCCGGGTCCTGCCTGGCAGCCAGTGGGGGGCGGGGGGGCTCCTGGGTCCTTCCTGGAATCTTCTGCAGCGCGATGACATCGTCCATATGTGATGTCATTGCGTCACTGGCGTTGGGGGGGGTGACGCTCTAGTTTTTGGGCAAAACTTCAAAACCATAGAGTTTGTCCAGAAATTTCTGGGTGGTGTCATTGTGTCAGGGGGGCATCGTGCAGCAATGACCTTGTTTGGAGGTGGGGGTGGCCAGCGGTGGATCGGAACCCCCAGGCGCGGGGGAACCCCTGCTGGGTCCTGGGGGCCGGGAACCCTCCTGAGACCCCTTAATGCCACGGGGCCACGTTTAAATACCAACAGATGCTGCAGTTGTCATTACTGCCATTCTGCAGACGCTGACACGTCATATCTAGAACTCGGCTGAGAATATTACAAAGACTCATCTTCACAGTCTATTCATTAATCCCATGTAAAAATCAGACTATCGGTCCTATCCCTTCCATTAAAAAAAAAATCTTCCGAATGTTTGGGTTTGGATTGGTCCATAATGTTAATTTAGCCTGTGGGAATGGATACTATTGAAATTATTACGACGTCATGCTCCATTGTGCTGTAGCTGCAGAAGTTGCTGCCATTTGACACACACACACCCCGCCCACAATTCCCCATCCTCAGGAAGGGGGAGGAGCCGGGACTCTCCAGAAGATTCCACACAGGCCTCTCGCTCCACCGTGGCTTTCCTACGTCATGGTCCCCATGTGGGCATCGCCCTCTACCTGTCCTGCTTCCGGGTTTTGCCTCACTTTGCTGCCATCTTTCGCAGACCGGGCCTAGTATGTTTTCCCAAAGAATCCAGTTAAAGCACCCTTTGGACACCATGTGGATGGGAAATCTTTTTTTCTCCAGGTCCTGCCCACGTTGGCATTACTTTCCTCTCTCTCTCTCTCTCTATATATATATATATATATATACAGGCATTACTTTCCTGCCTCACCCTCCCTGCCAACAGTTTCCTCCCCCTTCACTGGAGGGCTTTTCTAGTAAAATCAGGAACTGCTACATCCCTATAGTATTACAACTTTATAACAACCTATCGTAGCGATGTCCTAGTTCCCACTCTTCATTTCTTTTTTAAAGTATGTCCGTAGTCCTTATTGTTGTGGAGTTTTACGGGGAAAGGAGCAGGCTGCACATTTCCCTTACAGTCTGCAATAAGATGGGCAGCCCTGTTAGTCTCTCTGTAGGGGCAGAAATCATGAAGAATCCAGCAGGACCTTCAGGACTAATAAAATTTGTGGCAGGGAATGAGCTTTCGTGAGTCTTATCTGAAGAAGGGAGCCGTGACTCCCGAAAGCGCCTCCCCTGCCACAAATTTTGTTAGTCTTGAAGATCCTGCTGGACTCTTGCTCTTTCCTAGTCTTCGACAAAAGAGATAAGATAGAGACTTACTTGCTGGAGACCAGGGGTGTGCAAAAAAATCGGGCAGAATCAATTTCAGCCAGCAGTAAGATTCCCGCATGTCAGTTTCGTCAGAAGGAGCCCATTTGGGAGTCTTTCGGCCAGCCGAATGTCAATTTCAGCCCCATTATATCCTATGGGCCATTGAAGTCAATGGCGAAAACATAGGGTATATTCTGGGGGCTTGAGGGAGAGGCAACTGTTTGAGGGCCCGTAGAATTGGACCCCATGGTCCAATGGTCTTGAGACTTGGTGGGTAACTTGGGGACAGGCTCCAGCAGCTACCCTGCAAGTTTGGAGCCTCTCCCTCAAACCCCTCCCCTCCAGCCCCCTAGAATATACCCTATGTTTTCGCCATTGACTTCAATGGCCCATAGGATATAATGGGGCGGAAAGCCGATTCAGATCAGAGAATCTGAATCGGACCGCAGCAGCCTGAAAGGGGCCCGAATGGGCCATTTTCGTGGATGCATTCGTTTTTGGACGAACCGAATGCACATCCCTACTGGAGACTACTATATCGTGCAATAGACCGTTATGACATTATAACATCACAGTGACCTGGCAGCTCCTGATTTTATTGTAGGAAAGTTGTCTAGTGGAGGGGGAGGATGACAACGGTTGCTGCTGGTGGCTCAGGCGAAGCACATGTGGGGACAACCGCCGCCTGTGGGGGTGCCTCTTCTCTTGCGGCAGTGATGACGACTGCTCCTTGGAGGAGAATCCTGTCCCTGTGAAGCGGCCACGGCCCTGGGATGGGGCTCTGCCCACGCCCCTCTTGGCGGCCGCCTCAGTGCAGGCCCAGCGCCCTGAGTGCTGCAAGCCCTTCTGCCTCAGCTTCCCCAGGGGGCCTTCGAAGAGGTTCGTGAAACACCAGTTATTTCCTCAAACACCAGCAGAACTCCCTGAAACTCTGCACCCAAGTCCAGACGCTTGGCACTCTGTCACTGAACTTTTAGTGCCAGAAACGGACAACAAGGTGAACAAAAACGGGGCTTTTAAACGTCTGAACCTTCTTTATGGACTTGTATGGAACACCTTTCTTACGTTCACCAGTTCTTTAGTGGCTTCTTGCCTCCACGTGAAGTATCTGGCCACGTGCAGGCCCAACAAGTGCAGGGAGACTGTCAGGGTCGTGTTCAGGGGGAAAGTGATCTTGGAAAGCCCACCAGTGGGCATCTTGGCTGGGTGGGCAGCAGCTGCCTCGGATTTGCAGGAGGAGCTGTTCCCCTACTGTAAAAACAAGCTCTCATTCTTCAGTGGAAGGCTTCACGCCACAAATCCGTCTCTCTCGTCAAAAATCCATTTGGGGGGGCAAACCAGTGTCTCAGATGGGGCCATGCCCCTCGGACTCCTGCCCCGGCTGAAGGGGCCCAGGGGATTATCCAAACCCCACCACCCTCAGACAGCCCTGGGCAAATGGTCAGACTCGAAATCCAGAGAAAGCCTTGCTGTTTGGGCAGCCCCCCGCCCCAAACAGCCTCTCCCGGGCACCCTCTGCTGGCCCCAGCCTGGCCAGCCCTCTGGTGCGCTTGGCGGGCCTCCTGGGGCTGGGGGCCGTCTGCTTGGCTGTCCTTGGCCAAACCCTGCTGTGCGTGGGGGCCTTCACCACCACTCTCTGCCCCACAGGTGACCTCGTCTACCTCGCAAATGAGGCAGAGCGGCAGGAGTACGTCTTGAATGAAAACGGAATCATCTTTGTGGGAAATGCGCAGTACATCGAAGCCCGGGGATGGTACTACGCCGAGGCAAGTGCAGAAGGTCCCCCGGGGGGGCGGGGGGGGGCAGAATGCCGCACAGAAATCTCATTGTCTCCCGTGGGATTCTACCAGCCTGCGGTAGATGCGTTCAAAGCATCAGGGTCCCAGGAGCAAGACACACCGGGGAGGGACTGGAAAGATTCACCACCCAAAATGGTGTGCCGGGGGGGGGGGGGGGAGGGCCAAAAAGAGGGTGGGAAGGGAACGGGACACACCCGAGTCGAAGCGGGACTGCTCCAGGGCGACGCGGGGCCTCCCCCGGCTCAGCCACAGGGCCGGGAGTGGAAGGACGGTGGGCCGGGAGTGTTCATGGCACGCTTCCACTGCACCCGAATGGGCGGCGTGACCCAGAGGCCACCCTGGAGCAGAGGCTCCCCCCTTCCCCGCCCTCCCGGGTGGCTTCTGCTCAAGTTGTTCTGAGAAGGAGGCCAGGAGGAGGAGGAGGAGGAGGAGAGGGCCTCCACATGTGTCCAGGGAGATCCGTTTCGCCCTCTGGGTTCCGTGCTGTTGGGGGGCGGGTTTTTCCAGGCTCCTCACCACATTCGTGGTGCCCTCATAACCTTCCTGGAGTTTACCCAGCTTTTCTCCAGTCGTTCCCAAACCTGCTGTGCTGCAAAGTTTTGGGAAAGATCACAGCAAAACCTGGGTGGCTGCTATGTGGTTGGGAAAGTTTGGATTATTCCAGTCCTGCCGGCAGGGCAGCCACTTTCCCTGCCCCGGTGGCAGCCGTTCCCTCCCCACCCTGCACCTCAGCAGTTGAATAGTGTCCTGTCCCTATAGTGATGTAGCAGTCTGTGTCGCCGCTCCTCTGACTTCCCAGCTCTCGGTTTTTTTAAAGTAATTCTCTAGCCTTTGTCATTGGGGAGATATAAGGGGAAAGGCATATTAGTGCAACAAAGGCGGAAAGAGACTTACTTAAAAAAAAGAAACCTGGGACTTCAGAAAACCTGATACAAAGATTGTCCGTATTGTTATAATGATATAAAGATACTCATCTTTTGCACCTCCAACATGAGAAAAAAGCCGGGGGGGGGGGGGGGGGGGATGGACAGCGGCAGGTGAAATCAAGTCTGTCTGTCTCTAAGGTTCCACTAGACTCATGTTTTAACAGTGGGGGAAATAATATATCGTTAGTCATATAGAAGGTTACCAAAAAGAACACATTGTTCAGATAGAACAAGTTCTGGGAAAGAAACAAGGGAATAAATCAGCAAACTTAGACTCTCAGGGCGCTTGAGTGACTAAAGAAGGGTCTTCTCCTCTTGCTGAAAATACTGTAAATTTGGTGCCAGGCGAGTGTCGGGGGG